GACGACCGGACGGACCGGATTTTGACGACCGGACGGACGGACGGACGATCATGCGATTCTACAAGCTGCATCTGACTATGTCAGATGAGCTAAAAAGTTATAATTAAAATATATGATTACTCTCAATGGCGGTCAAACTTCGACCATTAACATTAACACAGGCCTTATACCAGTGGATCACAATGTGATTTGTTCCCCCCCCCCCTGGGGGATGTAGGACTACCTAGAGGGGGAGGCAAGGGGTCAGTGCATATAAGGTAGAGGGCATTGGGGATAGCTTTATGGAGCCAAGGAAGCTGTAACGGTGTGGCCTCCTTGTTGCTGCTACAGGGACATGTAACAGGAGCAAAGAATTACACAGTTAGAGCTAGAGCAAGGGGGCTCAGTAGTGAAGTAAGAACTATCACCTCACGCTAGTTCTATACTGAATACTAAAGGACGTACGGTGGCCAGTTCTCCTATATAGTGTTCTTCCTTCAGCGCCTTGGCATCAGACGAATGTCCGACATCGTCGAAGGGTTCCGATGCTATTTTACCTAAAATCAGCAGAGATATAACGTATTTCCAGCACAGTGAGTAACAGATAGGCGTGGTGACAGCTAAGGAAAGGCATCTGCATATTGCATAGAACAAAGATGTTAAAGCCAACATGTCAGGACAAGAAATATGTGTGCTCAACCTGTTTATTTCTGTTATTAGCTGAACTGGCTTAATGACTAAAAATTATCATCTTCATTAGTATAAATAGTACAAGCATTATAATTAATATACATGAATCACTACAAATTAGTTTATTATCATTAACCGTTATAATTAGAGCCTAGGAATAAGTTCTAAAAGATAGATCCGAATTGATACTATAAGGTTAAGACTGTAATTTTGTTGAGTTAGCTTTTGCTGTTGGCTTTTGGTATAAGTGTGGTGTTAGTTGTAGATGTGTCACAAGTATGTAGTTTGCTAATTACCATGTAATATGGAGTGGTAATTATGAGTGCACATGTATTTAGTTTTCTTAAATGTATTTAGTAACACGCACCTGCTTGTTCTAGCATGACTGCCTCACCACCAGGATGCTGAAATGCACAATTAGACATGCAATTTATTACACATGTAATTAGAATGGAGACAAAAGCCTTTACCAAATCCTTTGTGCAATTTCTTGAAATATATAATAAACTACGATGCTATAACTACTATAACAATGTGGGAGTAACAAAGTAATATAAACCATTTATACGTGATATAACAATATTTAACAGGTGATAACATATAATGGCATATATTAATCCTACTGGGAAAACAAGATTTAGATCTAGACGTAGTTTATCATGGACTATGACCCCTGTCAGGTTTTTCAGGTTAGTATAAAGCCTACATGCAGTACATAATGTGTAACCTTTTCGAATGTCGTGCGTGGTATCAATGAGCATATCACACATTCACCCTCATCATGCAGTAACGCTATATATATATAGGAAGTGCATTTATCGTTACCGATTGCAAAATTGACCTCTTACCTATCAGGGTATCACCATGGTTCATACAGGAAGACAGACAATTTTTTCAAGGACTTTTCAAGGACTTTTCAAAGACATTTTATCGGAAATTCAAGGACATTTTATCGGGCATTTTATCGGAATTCATACACAGAACACAACATACCTGGATTAATTTAATAATAAACCCAAATTCTTAATCACTGTCACCTCTAAAACTTACCTGGATCACATTAATAAACCCTTCTAAACACTGTCACTTCTACAACATACCTTAATTTACTAACTAATTTTATTGACTTACTGTAATTTGTGATCATCATTTAACTTTCTATCGTGTCTATAGCTTTTTAAGCTCATTTAACACAATTTTTATTGAGGTTTGCACATTATTGACGGTACAAAATTTCTTTTTATTACCGGTACAGGAAAGGATTCTTTCTAAGAATTCAAGGACATTTTCATGAAATTCAAGGACTTTTCAAGCACAAAATGAACATTTACTAAATTCAAGTACTTTTCAAGGACTCCCCTCAAATTCAAGAACTTTTCAAGGACTGTGCGAACCATGAATTCACATAGCAGAGCTTGGCACAAATATCCTTAGTGTTAGTTCATAATACACAATTATCGGTACACTTATTAAATGTCCAATTCACGTTCTTCTATTTCAATGCGTTAGAATGCCTCAGACTGTACCCTTTGGAGTGGGGTGGAAATGTATAATTATGGAAATATTAACCTATCGGACTATTAACCTATTGCTCTCACAGAGGCCAGTTAAGATGATGAGCAAACAGAAACTTGCACTGTACATCAGAAAACTGACACGTCCCTGTAACGCTGATAGGGTCTATTTCCCCCAGGGTACTGCCAGATCGTACCCTGGGGGACATAGACCCTATGAGCCCCTGTAACAGATGAGTAAACTAGCATATGATTTAAACAGGAGTATGATAAATGGTAAGGGAGCTGGTAAAGAAGGTCCTTTATTATCTTACTCTTTATGCAAAGTATAGGGAAAAGTATCACTAATTTTTGCTAAACAGGTTCATTGTAAATAGCCTAGAATAAAGAAAAAATGAATAAAATTTGGTGGGCAAGTGGATGTAGGAAGAAGGGTAACTGCCACTTTAAGAATAGCTCTTTTCGTTGTCAGTCCTTTAAAAAAACATAAGCCAGCCACATGTTCAGCCAAAATTGTTAGCATTAGCATACCAATTAGTACAGATGGTGTCTTAGTATACTGCTGCTGAGAGGGTCTATGTCCCCCAGGGTACTGCCGGAACGTACCCTGGTACCAGAGCATATAAATCAACGTGATTTATATGCTTTGCTGGTCAGGGAAAAAATAAATAAAATTTATTTTTCGGGGGCTACTTTTCAAGCTCGCGTGCATGAAAATAGCACTCTAAACGCTATGAAAATTTACGGGGGCTCTTTTTGCCATTTCCAGCATTTCCGGCTCTTTTTGGCATTTTGGGGGCTAAATCGCCCCGAGCCTCCGTGTATTTTTTTCACTGCTGCTGGTACTATCTAATATGCCGGACCGTACCTCACCTACTCCACTAACGAGTCTAGGGAGTCGCCTACGCCTACTCCCTAACCCTAACCATATCAGTTAGTTACCAGAGTACGTTCCGGTATACCGGACCGTACCCAGGGTACGTTTCGGCAGTACCCTGGGGGACATAGACCCTATGAGCTCTACTGCTACAAAGTAGAATTTAAACTGCTTTGCTATAACACACTACTTGGACCCCTAACTCTTGAGAGAGACAATGTTAGTCTTGACCAGTATGCAACTTCTGCTCTCATACATGTATGATGTCATTTCTATGTCAACTAAATATGAGAAGTCGCTCGGAATTCATACAAGTCTACGGAAAGTAGGCCTACCCAAATCATCATCACCACTGCATATAGGCCTACCCAGCAACACATCATTATGGATTGCACATTGAATGCAGTTGAGTAGCTTACAACTATAGATAGATTCACTTACGAGTTGAATATTTTCATTTTGGTACTCTTTGAATTTAGATGTTCGAACGTACCCGAAATCTAAACATACCCACATAAGTGACCCTCCCACTTTTCACTGCATGGTGAGAGAGGTAAAAGCAGTCATGTTGAACGAGTAGTACAGTCTACAGACGTGTTATGTAACTTATGGGAGCATCATGGATGTAACTATATACAGAAATAGCAAACATAGAATTAGCATTTAGAACCCAGGAAAACACAGGCACTTGGAACGTCTCAATAAAAAAAAATAATGGTAAATAAACACGAAATGTACCAGTCTTAATGTTTCTCTACTCTATTTCGCCTATAATCACCTGTAAATGCTGGTCAAATGCTCATCTGCAACACACAAGTACACCGAACGCCCGCCCGTGCTGTGCTGCGTGCACAAACAACATGAATAAGAAAGCAGGTAGGAAAGCGGGATTGAAAAATTTGTTCGACACTCGCTTCATTTCACACCATCACAGCTCGAATACACCTCCTACAGTTTCCATCTTGGTATCTATGTGTACATAAATGTTTACTTGTTCGAATTATACCTCTGGCCTTTGTTCTTACCTACTCCCGCCAGAGATATCTCGTGAAATCCTGCAGGAAATGTTCTCTCCGTGAAAATGTAAAGAGGACGAGATGTCTGTTTATACACGAGTAATGTGGCGCATTGCATGCCGGGATGAGCTGCTGCCGGCCTCCGAGCTCCATTTCGAGGCGCGCCAAGCCATGCAAGCACAATGAGCGCGGGCATGACGTCACGCACACACGATCGACTACAGCGATCGATCGAAAGTAGTGCTGTTAGGGATTTTCGGACGATAACGTCCTCTTTACATTTTCACGGAGAGAACATTTCCTGCAGGATTTCATGAGATATCTCTGGCGGGAGTAGGTAAGAACAAAGGCCAGAGTTATAATTCGAACAAGTGAACATTTATGTACACATAGATACCAAGATGGAAGCTGTAGGATGTGTATTCGAGCTGTGGTGTGAAATGAAGCGAGCGTCGAACGAATTATTCAATCCCGCTTTCTTACCTGCTCTTTCTTATTAATGTTGTTTGTGCACGCAGCACAGGGCGGGCGGGCGTTCAGTGTACTTGTGTGTTGCAGATGAGCATTTGACCGGCATTTACAGGTGATTATAGGCGAAATAGAGTAGAGAAACATTAAGACTTTGGTACATTTCGTGTTTATTTACCATTATTTTTTTTATTGAGACGTTCCCATGCAGTGCCTGTGCAGGAAAATGCTCCTTTCTTGCCATGAAATTTTTGAGTATTCATTCGACCAAGCAAGCTGGTTTTGTATGACAGCACGAGCATGCAGAATTAGAATCTGAGATTTGCTAATGACGATAACACTCAGTGACTTATCAAAATCACTAGGCACTTTATTACTACTCTAATAGATGAACTTACCGATGCCAAAAACATTGTGACATCGTATACTTTGTTATGGATAACGACCCATAGCGACTTTTCGTTGTTGTGTTCCTCCACCTCTTTCAGAGCGTAATATTTTACTGGTTCTTCCTGTGCTTTAGCTTGCCCTGAGTCAGCCATTTCGTTTAGTACGTAATCGAAAGCAGGATTTACTTATCTGCAGCTATTTCGTTGGAATGAGCACAGGAAAGTACAGGGTTATCTGGCTGACGTGACTTCGGTCGTGTGAACTCCGAACTACAAACAACTTCTGCGGCGACCCTGATAGAACGTACAGCGCCATCTTTCAGCAGTGAATGCTATAGAATCGTGAATGCAGCTTGCCAATAGATGGCAGTCATAGACTAAAAACCGTAGACCGTGATATGTGAAGCCACCACAAACAAAACGTGGATTTTCACGAGGAATGATGTGTGTGTGTGTGTGTGCTTAAAGTTAAAACTAATCACCTGTTCACATGAGCAGATATCTTTGGCCAGTAGGCATAATCTGATTTTCGTGTCTAAAAATTTCTGTTCTCATGATCTGTTTATATGATATTGATAGTATTAGTAATAGTAGCTAAGAATATTTTGCCTTGCAATGCAATCACTTTTTGCAGTGGCTTAAAAAATGGTTGCCCTTAATCTGTTTGTGGTGTTTAAGAAAGTTTTTTGGCTCACAATCTGTATAGTTGCTGGTCCAATGCTGTACCACCATACCATCACGTATGTGCACACACATACAACAATATACACACCAACAGTTTATGCAATAACTGAATTTTATTCAGGCGTATAACCCCACACAGCATTTTCATTGTTCACAATAGAACAGTTTCCGATAAGGCCCACCCAATTCTTACAAGAAAACAGAAAACCAAAATATGAGATGAAAATATTCATTCCTGAATGCACACCCAGTAATGTGTCATGCGTAATACTGGCAAAGAATGCATCGCATCGACATTCATGGCTTACAATCCACCTGGTGTGATTGACAAGCAGGTCTAGTCAACCACTGTCGTGATGGGACATCATAAAGACAATACTGGGCAACGACATGCCGAAAAAAGTTGACATTTCAATGTGCACACGTGAAAACCACGTTTTATAAACCGGTGTAGATAGACTTGTGGCAACAATATCAATTATCTCGCCCAGACAGATAGATCACTACAGGAGACATTTGGATCCATTCACTATCGCATTTACGAGATTCAGCTACATTATGGAACTGCACTGTCCCCCCCCCCCAGTTTCCCACGCAGACACAAGCACACCCAAAATATAAGAGACCTGCACGTTCAGAAACGCACCCAAACTCAAATAACAATGCTCTGCCAAATATCTCTCAGCACACAATTACAGAAGATATTTTTATTGATCTACAGTACTTGCATGACTAGCAGAACCTATGTCCACGAGTGTCTTAGTAAATTATCTGCAACGAAAAGGCGTAAATTCACGATAGTGTGGTAAGGACACATCGATAACTGTGGTTTTCTAAATAACGTCCAGCACGCATTTTATTAGTGACACTCAGATTTACAAAGTAGCATATATTAATCTAACTCCCACACTCCATTATACATTCCTCCCACTGAAATATAACGTATATCATGAACATATATATACGATATCTATCATACGTCATTGTATAAATATGTTCACGCATATATATATATACATATAGGTTGCTTGGAAACATGTGGCTACAATATTATATGTAATCATTGTTACAAATCCACATCTCCAAGTAATGCAGCTCACTTCATGCTTTCCAACACTAGACACCCAACGGCTTGGACATCAGCAGATTTTTCCCTTCATATTATTGTTGCTTAGCAGTGCATTAACCCACAACTTTGCATACATGGTCGCATCTTCCTTTTTAATTTGAGATGATATTGCATGTTTATCAGGAGTAATGCTTCTTTACATTTTGTTATAAACAGGTGTTAGAAACTATGTTTTCAACATCATGACTAGCTTAATCCAGATTCAGGCTATTGCAGTGCCATATGTTCCAAGGTATACCCGATGAATATTTTCCACTTCTTCACAAAACTTACCATACACACGTTTTTATAAAATGGTGAGAATTTCGTTGTATGTCACCGCACTCTGATATTAGTGAATTGTTAACGTCAGGGCTAGTTATGACTACAGATATAGAATATAATCTTTATATTTTTCATACTTAATAACCACGCCACTTAGATTTCTGGTCAAGGTAACGTAACGATTTAGTTACTAATTTTATTGGGATTCTCCTAGATCATTATAAATATCACTCGTTTTGCTCATAATACAAAAAAAATCTACAGCTGGGTTCTATTGAAGGCAAATATTTACACAAAATTACACAGCTAAGTTAAAGTTCTACAATCGAGAGCAGAATATATCCAAGATACACGTACAGATATATTAGTATAATAGAAGTGAGTGAAATTAACAATCTCAGGAATGTTTCAGTTTGTTAGGATTTCAAGATTTTTTAACCCAGGATTCATAGGACATATATTATTTAGAATTTCGCTCAAATACATGTGTAGTTCAATAACATGCATTATTATTAACCATTACATTACTCATAAAGCAATGTAACCACGTATTGAGAAGTTCTCATTTTCTGTGAGTGGATATAATAAAGCCAGATTTATAAATTAATTTGTTACTCTGCAGAGTTTAACTATTACTTGAAACAATTTTCCGATAAAAATATTTTATCTGTTGTTGCTTTCCTCATTAACAATGAACAATAAATGAGAAACTCAGTGCAGCATAGGTAGTCACATGCATGCAATTTTGTTATTAGCCATAAAGTTGGCAGCGATAACGAATAGTCTTTGAAGAACAGGGGCTACGATTTTTGTCAAACAGATACAAGCTAGGATAATTAAAGCTTATATATATGTATATATGTCACTAAAATCTCTTGAGTTTATATAGCCTTTTACAAAACCACTCGCATTCCGATAGTACCTCCTGCTTAATCACACGCCTTGCCAACACAGCAGGTGACAAGTGACTTCTCATGATCGTTGCTGCGTTCGCTCGCAGGGCGCGGGTGTGTGGTACTCACGACACAGCTCGCTTGTCCCACGAGGAGATAAAGGACTCTTACGCCGGACCCTCAACGTGGCTAACCCGCATTGCAGCGTAATACACGGCGCGAATCGTGAAGAGCAGTCCGATTCCATACAGCACTGAAATGAAGTAGCATGCATTTTGCTTCTCACAAAATAACAAAAAGCCCAACAATTTGATTTCACAGCCTAATTTTCAATTTATCTTATTTTTCTTTATTTATTATAATTACTAATAATTATAATTATTAATTATAATAATTATCTTATTATTTTTTCAGCTAAGATTTGTCACTGAACCAGTAGCAAGTAAAATCTACTGATCAGTAAAATTTCCAGCTAACTCCTAGTAACTGTGGCCGGGGGTTTGTGCGGGACAGCATCGAGACTGGATGCAACAGGGAATTTCGCATCATAGGTGTCATTCCTGGCCTTATGTCCCATCGGGGGACCAAGAGGACAAGTATGTAAAAGTATAGGTGCCATCACCATCACCAATACAATCAGTGTTCAAAATTCACGTCGGCCCGCCTGCCGCCGACAGTTTCGATGCCGAACCTACAGCTTCTTGATAAAACAGGCCCGCTGATCCTACAGCTACTTGATCACCGAAAATTCGAAACACTGAGAAACTGTTACCTGTAGAAATCTTTTCTTGCATATTAACTTCCAGGGGTATTTATTTGAAAACTAATCCGTGATAAACCGTGACATACATGTAAACAATGCCCACTGCATATTTGCACAGCCTGATTGTAAATGAAAGAGCGATAGCCTGGAACCCTGTTCCAAGCTGCGCACCACAGTGTAGTAAACTAAAGGGCAATTTCCAATCGAGTGCGGAATTAGCTGCGAGTAACATGAAATCGTTTCTCATTGGTGGGTGACCGTGGGTCTGGCCTGAGCAAGTGTCTCAGATTTCGACCAATCGACATGACTGTATGATCGACACATGGTTAGACTGGTGTACGTATGACGGCTCCACTCGCAATGTTATGAGACGCTACTACGTTGCTACCGATGTGTACCAGACTACCAGTCTGTCTCTCTTCTGTCAAAGTGGAGAGTCGTAGTTACCAAGGAGCTACATATAACAACGATGTGAACCCCCGGCAAAGAAGCATAAACAGTCATCCGACGAGAGGAAGGAAAAACAGAGGGATTATGATTATGGACATTGATAATGACTAATAAACACAAGGAAGAACATGATATGCTGTTTAATTACTGTAATTTGCTCCAAAATTGGCGGGCCTGCAGCTTTTAGGAGCTATAGGCCCTGCAGGCATACAGCTTTTTCTGATCAGTGGCAAACACTGAATACAACACAAATTCAACATCTAAGGAAATATGAATAAACCGTATATACGTACGAGTCAAAACAACAATGATCCCAGCAGTCATCGATTTTAATGTTCCAACCTAAGAGAAAGAGAAACGAAATTGACTATATGATTCATTCTCGACTAACTTGACTACAGTATTTTTTCTAAAATTTAATGCCTCTGTTGCACTGAGAAAGCAACCAAAGAGCAATAATGCCACGGAGTATAAAGCAACATAACGTGATACCAAAAAGACGTCATGGGACAAATAATTAATATTCTAAAATATTCCAGCCCATTGAAATTAGCTTTCACTTCAAAGGCTTCATTAAGTAAACCCACTATCAAAATATCATGGTGTCTACGACCTTCCTTGACAACATACGCTAAGTTTTTTTTAGTGAAATCACAAA